ACGTGTAACTCACAATACATGGCGTAGCCCAAACCGATCTTTGAAGTAGCTAGCGTCTCCCCGATTGGTGCCAAACTAACTACGATGTAGAGCACCGTCGACTCTCATTACAGCGTCCACCGTCGCATTTTCTCACAATAGTTCTCCTTCTTAACCCCAAACTACACATAAAGCTACAAACTCCCAAAAACGCATCAAATTTGTTGCGCTTCACMAAATCATCCTCATCTTTCACCTCTCTTATACGAGTTTCCTTTCCCGAGAATTTGTCATCTCTATGCTTGAAGACCTCCCCATATATATATACTAAGTCATCGGCGGTTTCACRGAATATGAAACGATAAGCCATAATAAATGGTCGTAGGTTTCATGACCATTGAGTTTCCCGTCATTAAATTGCATTCAATTTATTTATTTATTTATTATTATTATTTTGGGTTATTACATAAACAATAGTTGAAGTTATAATTATTAATACAGTCGTGGTATAATCTTGAAAGGTTACATAAACATGTGAACAATCAAAGTGATTACAATCCGGTTGACAATTTTACAGTATGTAAAAGCTTTGATCTTGGCAAAAGTGTGAAAGTTGCTTAATGCAACATGTCGACAATCTAAACCAGTAGTTGAAACTCAAGTTATTACATTTGATGTGATATAATCATAGAAAATTGTATAACAAGCACATAACCGAAATGATTCTACAAAATTACAGTCTTGAAAAAACCCACATTAACAAGTTGAAGTCTCTATAAGTTTCAAAGTGCACCCATGATGTTATATTTCATATTTCTAATTGAAATATTTATATAAGACAAAATTCTAAATATTAAAATGTTGTCTTCGATATCTCATTAAGCGTAGTATTAAATTGTTTTGAAATCTAAAAACTGATAGCAATTCAATTATTTGTCAAATATATTTTCTGGATGAAAGATAATTAATTTTTAAAACCGGATGATACTGCAAACTTATTGTTATGTAACGGATTCTATTTAAATTTGATTCGAATTGTAAACTAATGGATTAAAACTATATGTTTGATAAACACAATTTATATAACTAATATATCAATTGATAAACAGGTAAAATAAAATATATCAAAATAATTTTTACGAAATGAAAATATAAATTAAAGTAGTCAATAGACAAAATAAAACTAAAACAAATAAATTAAAATGGATTTATTATCTAATTATATTAAAATGAAATAAAAATCTAGTAATTCTTAAAAAAGATTAAAAAACAATGAAAAAAATGGTATTTTCGTAATTTACCTGAAATTGTGTCACTTGTATTTCTCAACAATATGGTGACCTACTAAACCGTTATATATTTCTAATTTCTTTTTCTTGAAACCGCCGAAAAGGGTAATTGGCTTGAAGGCTCTAAACCAATTGAGACTTCCCTTCAAACATAAAAAAAACTGAGTCTTACGTCAAGCAACATGCATACAACTTCTCTTCTTGATAATTCAACAACATGTTAAGAATGCAGACGTAGGCGAAGATGACCTAATTCGATATGTATCCATACATAAAAAAACAAGACCGGTGGAATTGGTTTTCAAGAACAAACCTTTATTCCTCTTTTGGACAATTTGTTTGTTAACTTTTGATCATGGCACTAATAAAAGCCATTTTCAACATTCATAAAAGAATTATTGCTTCTAACTTTTGTTTGCTTAACCATATTCTCTTATCTTTGATGATTATGTGTCGTTCTCGGTTTTGTTACAATTTGAGTTGCCTAGTTATTACAATCAAGATGGAAACTGAGAATGGAAACACCTTTAGAATCTATTAAGATTCAAATTAACTGTTACATGGAATGCAATTATTGTCATGTAGTTTTTGCTTTATTTGAAGTTGAAATATAAGAATAGAGGACCAAAAGTGGATTTTTTTTTTCATACTTCAAAGCATGGATTGAATTAAATCTTAGAGGGTGTATGGATATGTGTTTTTTTTAAGTGATTATAAGATATAAATATAAGACCCGATAGTTATTTAATTAAGATTATAAATAAATAAGAAAATTTATATTTACATCCTTTTTTTGAAGTGTATAATATTATATATATATAAAAGAAACAATCTTCACTTTTGGTGATGTTTAAACCATTGATTTGCTATGAGGCTAAACACACCCGATACCTCCTTAGTTCACATGTTAGTTGCAACATCCATTTCCAGATCTAAATGGAAGAATTCATGTTTTTAGATGGAATAATCTGATTTAATTATATGAAATCGAGTCGTTTTAAATTATATTTTATTTTATGAACGCATCTCATATGTATAAATTTTAAAAGTAGTTAAAAATGCATGTGATTTAAACGGGAGATGGGATTTTATTCTAAACCAAAAATAAAAAATTTAAATTTAAAATTGTTTTTAGAGAGAAATTGTAGAATGTGAAAAAGTATTATAATTTACACAAACTAATAATATGTGAAGCCTTCGCCACTCTTAATTATTTTATACCTACAAAAATTAACTCATATATTTTACACTGAATAGCAAAAAGAGTAAATTACAGACAAATTTCGTCCTATAAATTTGTACTCATTCTGGTTATCGATTGCGTCCCTTGAACTAACTCTCGTAAAAATGAAGAGTCTTTTCATCAATAACTCAAAATGTTGGCCGTTGTTAAAGAATTTTGTTATATGAGGAACATTTATCAATTTTTTTTATCTTTTACCCGATCAAAAACCACAAAGACGAAAATCATAAATCGGTTTTGATCAAGTAAAAACCAAAAAATGACAAAAGAACGCAAACTCCTTCATTTGGCGGAATTTTTTAGCAATTATTAAAGAAAGTCATCGTTTTTACAAACTATGAAAATTATTTTATAATTTTAAAATTGCAAACCAAATTTATCGTCTATGAAAAACAAATCTTTTTTACACATCAAACCCCATTTGTTTTCTCACTGTCGTACAAAACAAAAACGTAACAGACCTTCATTGCATCAAAGATGATGCAATCTCTTCCCAAATCCACAATTTCTTCAAATCTCAACCTGCATCAGTTTGTGGGTATGGTGAATAGTTGCTGTAACTTCATCAAACCATCATCAAAATGGAAACTTGTTTCATTTTTACCACATTCTTTGCAACATCCGAATCTTTTTTGTCATTTTTCTTCACAAACACCCACCATGATTCCGAACCCACATGGCAGAAGTTACTCCAAGAAGGAGCAAGCTCTTCTTTCTGTTTTCAAGAAATCTTGCACCAAGAGGGATATTGAACAACTCCATGCCCATCTGGTTCAAACTGGCTTTACTCAGAGCTTATTTGTTGTGGGTAAGATTATCGTGTTTTGTGCTGTATCAGATGAGTGTTCTATGGATTATGCTGTTTCGATTTTCAAAACGATTGAGAATCCAGATGGGTTTCTTTGGAACACGATGATTAGAGGGTTTGGTAGGATGAATCAAGTACATCAAGTGTTTTCTTACTATAAGAGGATGCTTGATCATGGAGAGATTGCAGACAATTTTACTCTCTCTTTCTTGATTAAATCTAGTGCCCAATCTGGGTCAATTTTGCTGGGGAAACAAACTCATTGCAATGCCGTAAAACACGGCCTTGATGGTCATGTTTTTGTGAGAAACACCCTGATTCATATGTATGGAATGCTCAACAATCTCCGCATTGCATGCCAACTGTTCGATGAAATGCCCAACCCAAACTTGGTTGCTTGGAACACCATCATTGATAGCCATGTCTGCTGTGGAAAACACCAAGAGGCACTGGAATTGTTTTCGCAAATGCTGGATGCCGGAATAAAACCCGATGATGCCACATTGGTCGTGATCCTATCGGCTTGTGCTGCACTTGGTGCCTTGGAGCTCGGGAGGTGGGTTCATTCCATCGTTGATCAAAATTGCTCGATGAACGATGTATCAATCGCGAATTCACTGATTCATATGTATGCACGATGTGGAGAACTTGAAGAAGCACATGAGATTTTCAATCGAATGAAATCAAAAAACACAGTAACATGGAACACGATGATCTTGGGACTAGCAGCGCACGGTCATTTTCGAGAAGCCCTAGACGTATTTTCGATAATGATAAACGAAAAAGACGCACCACCCAACGACATAACTTTCCTGGGAGTTCTAAGCGCGTGTAGCCACGGGGGAATGATCGAAAAAGGACGGCAATATTTCGATAAAATGACCAAAGAATACCAAACGAAACCAGCAATAAAACACTATGGATGCATGGTAGATATGTTATGTAGAGCTGGGTTGGTCATTGAGGCTTATCTATTGGTTCAAAGTATGCCGATGAAATGCAACGCCATCATCTGGCGGACGTTATTGGGCGGTTGCCGGATTCACGGCAACGTGAAACTAGCCGAGAAGGTTAGAATGCATCTTTTGGAGGTGGAACCGGATCATAGCAGCGATTATGTTCTTCTTGCTAATACTTATGCAAGCCTAGAGGATTGGAACCAAGTTTCGAGAGTAAGAAGATCAATGACCGCTAATGGAGTTCAAAAACCGAGCCCTGGTAACAGTTTCATTGGCGTACCATGATACACTCGGGAATAGGATTTGTACATGCTATCTTGGGTCCCACTTAACCGATTTAGGTTTTGTTTGTTAACAACTTAATAAGCTTAATGGGACTTGTAACTTATTTCGTCAGCTATACTGTTTCATAGTGGCTTAATGATGTAGAAAGTGGCTTATTCATAAGTTTTTAGGAGGAGCTTTATGCAAAAGTCAAGTTTTTTTTTTTTTCAAACCTATCATTCCCAATTAAAAAACATGTTTATATCCTCTATGGAAAAACCCACCCAAGCAGATATTTCCCAATCTATATAGCCAGGTTAATCCACACAGTAGCTTTATCCATGCAGGACTTGATGGAAAACCAACCAAACAACCCTTAACCTGATAGGATGAGGGACTGGTCCCGCATAACCGAGTTAAGCGTGTTTGATAGGATCAGGGACTTGGAGGCAGGAGTTGGGAACAAACATATGATGAATTTGCAAAGCATCATTTTGATTTTGTTATACATAATGAAAACAACATATAGTTTGCAACACGAATGTTTTGTATGTAACAGAAGTTTTTCGTTACTTGACATATAATATTTATGAAATCTTCTTTTGCTTCTTCTCCTTCCACTCTTGGATACCTGCATCTACTTTGGCTTTAACATGTTCATGAAACCCCGGATATGGTTCATAACCGAACGCCATTTGAAGAGTCTGAACATCAACAACAAAGATTAAGAAAATAGTATACATACATACACATATACATACGTACATGCACACAGTGAGAGATACAAAGGGCACACGCGAATTACCTCTAACAACACGAAAAAGGGTGCCATCAAGAAGGCTTGTGCTAGGTTGTCCAACAAAGCAGGTGCGCGTTTCTAATAAGAAAAGAAACGAAAGCTTGATTACTAAAACGTGAATGAGAAAATGGAATCACTACAAGAAAATCGACTTTATAAGATGCAAATTATGTCTAAATGTCCTAATAGACTCTTTTACTGGTCTTGAGCTTATAGGACCAAACAATTATGCGTGTTATATAAAGGTGTTACAACAGGATGCTTATAGGACCAAACAATTGTGC